AAGCATCTCCCTAACGGCATTTGGTATAGAGGTAGAACTTTCCCAGAAGAGTACAGTAAAACCACCTCTCTAACCAAGTTCCAATTGCAGCCTGGTGCCTTAGACAGTTGACTGTTCTTCCAAAATCCACCTTTCTGGGTTAAAGTCTCAGCTGCCCCACTGATCTGTACTTGCCCCAAGATTTATTGTAAGAATGGGTAGAAGGAAGACAAATTGAAAAGAAGGTGTTTCTGACAGCCCAACTAGTGGATTCCTCTGAGCTATAAGTAGAATCCGCTTGATAGCTGGGAGGATTTTTGTCTGTCGATACATAGCTGAGCATTTCCTGAGCCAACAGGGTGAAATTTAAGAGAAGAAATAGAACTAAAATTTTATGGAAGGGGTTATTTTGTGCCAGAATGCCTTCCGTAATATCCTATGAATAATAGGACAAGTAGGGTTTACTCGGTCAACTCTAGCACTTATTGTTTGCCATGAACCCAGAAGCAACTAGTATCTCATTTTTTGAAAAAGGAAAGTGCAGTTCAAGAGGCTGAATGTCATACTGGAATTCAAGTCTAGTCAAGCCCCTCAAAACTGACTTTGTGGTCAGGGTTATGTAGTAGGATTATTATATTTTCCTCTTCTCTTCTCCCCTCCCTCCCCCCATTAAAAGTAGGATTGTTGACAGTGGGAGGCTCTTTCTTTATTATTAAAATTTCTGCCTACCCAGCAAGTCTATTTTTTAATGAGATTAAAGATGAATAGAAAAATAGAGTAATGCTCAGAATTCATGTACATAATGTAGAAGAAATTGTTGCCTTCAAAAATCACCACTTTGCAAACACCACTATATTAACCTATTCGGCAAGCATTGGTGGGTGTTGAATGTATTCAGAGAAAGCTGTCGAGGGAAGTAGATGTTCACACAACCTTAAAGTGTCACCCCACGAGTTACTCATTAATTAAAAAGAGAAAATAGTATGTTTGCATGAGAAATCTGTCTGACAGCAAACTAACCAAGCAACCAGGTGTACTTTCACCAATAAAGACCGACATGTGATTTGTGAGGTGATGCACTGAGGAGGGTGCACGGTCCCCGGTGCACGATTCTTAACCAAGACTTCAATTTGGATCTCTACTCTTGAGAAGATGGTACAAATTGAGGGACATTTCCAGAGCACCTTGAGTGAACCCTTTAAGAAGGTCAGTGTCATGAATGACCAAAAATGACTGAAGAACTGTTTCAGATTAAAGGAGGCTTATAAGACATGATAACTAATAACAATGCCCAGAACCCTTGATTGGATCCCAAGTTAAAAAATAAATTAATTAAAAGCTAGACAAAATTAATAAAAGCCAGTATCAGAACCATTGGATATTTGGATATGAAATTAAAGAACATTATTTTAACAATTAAATTTCTTGAATATGAGTGTTGAATTGTAATTATATAGACTATGTTGTTCTTCAAGGATAAAGCTGAAGTTTTTAAGGATCAAATCTTAAGATGTTTACACCCCTACTCAATTAGATTGGTTGAGCAAAAATAAATATACATGGAAAATGCAAATGTGACATATGTTATAAGTTGGCAAATCTAAACAAAAAGTTAAATAAGTATTCATATACTTATTTAAATGTTCTGAGTTTGAAAATTTCAAAATAAAGTAGAACAATCAAGATAATTTATTAATATAGCCAAACACAATCAGTGGAAGGAAACATTGGCTTGCATTAAGAATGCAAGAAAGTTTTCATAATGGAGAAAGTTTCGCAAAGAAGTAGCTGAAAGCAAGGATCATAGGTTTTTTTCCTAATTGTAATCTCTGGTGAGTTTATAGTAAATGTGTGGAATTCTGAGGCTGCATCCATGGTTTATAAACAGTGATTCCCAAGGGCTTAGGAAGAAGTGGTTAGGGGATGGATGATCCAAACATTTGCTATCTCTGGTTGATTGTTTATAGTCTGTTTCTTAACTCTTATCAATCCTGGCTTGCTCTAACCCTAATTTTATCCTGAAGCTTTAGTTTCTGATTTAAATATCCTCCTCCTAAAGTTGGGAAGAGGGGGTTTCCACCACCCAAAATTTAAGCATTTGAGACATCCTTTTAAATTGTAGCCTAAAAAAAAAAAATAATAAAATAAATTGTAGCCTAAAACCCTAGGGGTAGGTTTAGATTTAGGTAGCACTATGGTTAGGTAAGAAAGTTCATGAATGCCTCCTGAAATTAGAACTGGGGGGGGTGGGGGCGGGGGCAGTGTTCTTCTGGGAGGGGTCTTCAGTCAGGTGTGACAAACCTGAAATGAAATAGCGCTCAGTAGTGTTCTAATGGTTGCTGTAATTGTTAGTTGTTTTCCACTTTGCTCAACCAGTTGGTGTCCTAGGCGCCTTTGCTGTTGCTTCTCCGGTCTCCTAGGTTATTACTCGCATGATGAGACTGCCTGTCTGGCCCCTCTCTCGAGGGCCTTTCCATTCTCCTCTGCCTCAAGAGGGTAGCTGCAGTCTCCGTCCAATCGAGAACAGATCATTTCCCACTTTCTTCAAAAGGTAAACAGGACCTTGATCATAGTATGTGCTCAATAAATACTGTTGCATGGATGGTTGAAATAATTAAACACTTCTTTCCCCAAACAGCTTTCCAGTTGAAATTAGTTGGAGCTCACTTAGTGACCCTTGAATGAGTGAGATTCCATGGACTGGCTCCCCCAGTTACCTGTGGACTTTTCCCCACTCCTTTTCCAGCTTGAGTCTTCCAGAGGGAGCCTCAGAACTGATTTCTAAAACCGCTTGTATCTGGTGTGATTATAAAGCAATGAGACTGATTGTCATGTGTAGCTTGTGGGATCCGTCTCAGTTACTTTATAGCCATACCTGGTATCTTATACCACAGAGCATTGCCTGTTGAACAACATCTTAGTAGCACAAGCCAAAGGTTTCTAAATGGAAATTTAAAATGGTTGATTAGTCTCTTTTGATTTTCTCTAACTTACAGATCAGAACCCTTATTTCAGAAAAATAATTAGATGTTAACTTCGTTGTTTGCTTTAATTTTGTAGTTTTTGTTTTGGGATTTTTGATCAGCATCTTGATAAAATGATGTTCTGGAAAAGTGGCTGGAATAATTTTGAATAAGATATTACAAAAGTGTATGTTCCATGTGTTACATTTTTTCATGAAACTCCTTTATCAATGGATTTTCCTGTTACATGTGGTGTTTTGACTGCATGTGCCACAGGAGTGTCCTTTTTAGATCACTATGGCAATTGAAACATAAAAAGACAAATATTAGCTTTCAAGAAGTCTTTGAAAGAGCAGATTCGGAAGGTTTTGCTTGCTCTCTTGCTTTGTTTAGTTTGGATGACTTACATTCTTTATATGCACGAAGCTCATTTAAATTTGAAAAAGTGGTTATAACTGTCTATTTCCCAAGATGTTAACTCTCCTTCCCCAGATTGAGCCCAGTCTCCTTTAGGTGGCCCCTTTGAGGAAAGCAGCTTGTACAAGTTACATGGTACAACAAGCAATTTTAGACCCTGAATGAGCGACCACTGGCAGCAAATAGTGATGGGAAGGTTTCTTTATTTCCTTAAAAGAAAGTGGAGAAAAGGTCTTGTAATTTCATGCTATTCATAGAGATACATTAATTTGCCTTTTAGTTATATCCTTCCGGAAATTAATAGAAGGAGGAATACGGTGAACCAGAGTGCAGTTTATGGACAGCCTGAGTTTTAGTTTGTGTTTATAGCAGAACCTGTGGACAACTTTACGGTCAAACCTGAAAGAACCAGGATGCAACAGGCCTGCTGTGTTTTTCCACAAGGGTCTTGCAAGTTTTCCACCTTTGATTTGATGTAGTCTTCTTTTCTATCACTTGTCTCAGTAGAAAATACCGTGTTTTCATTCAGACAGGCCTACTCCATACACAGCTTCCAGCTTTCTTGGACTGTGCTATAGAAGCCAATTGACCTTGTATAACATGAGTTTGAACTGCACAAACTCACTTATGTGCAGGTTGTTTCCTGTGGCTATTGAGATGAATTCAAGTGCTATATCTACTTAAAATGCCATGTGATGCTGATGATCTCCGTTTGAGCAGTTTCTGGAAAGAAGAACTGCTCACACAGCGTTTTAAGTTACGTAGATAGTCTCAAAACTTGAGCTCATCTCAGTAGCAGCTAGAAAAAATATCCCCATAAAAATGCCAGTGCAGTACAAACCTATGTTGTTCAAGGATCCAATATATATTGGAATCTAGAGTGTTGAACCTTGGGCCTGTCTCAGGAATGACTAGACTTCTATAAGGATTGTGGAGCTCATTAAAAAGAGGTTGTGCTCCAGTCAGTCTAGACATAGGCCAAAATTAGTTTCATATGTTATTAATAATAGGTGCCAACATTTAGTGTTCTGCTGTTGCAATTCTTATTATAATCAGGTGTATATTGTACTTCTTGGAGACATTATAAAACTCCTTGTACTTCTTTCCATTCCTTTCAATTGTTCTACACCTAATAGATGTTCCATAAATGTCTCTTAGAATGATTTGTCCAAAAAATACCAATGTGTACCCTAGGTAATAATGCTTTTTTCCTTTTCTTAGGGCTTTGGGACTTTTGAAGAGTATTTTAAGATATGTAATATTTTTCAGTGAAAATCTGCCATGAATTTAATCACATTTCTATTGCTTTATAACTATGTTACTGTTGTGATATTTGTCTGGTTCAATAGTCTGCTTTTTAAGTATAGTTATATGACAAGTTAATATAGTTCTTAGTACTATAATTGTTTTGTGCCTTACATTTGTGAAAATTCTAAGTACTATACAACACAACAAAGTATCTGTCCTCACTTGGTACAGGCATACCCAGCTACAACTTCACCTCATTGAGAATTTGAATCTGTAAAACCCTTATGGTTAGCAAAATTTGCAGTTTTTTATTCTAAATAGTGTTTTAATATATATTATGCTTTCATAAACTTTAAATGTCACTTGAGTATACTTATTTATTTAACATTACAGGCACTGGAGATATTATTGCTGTCATGATTACAGAATTGAGGGGTAAGGATATTTTGAGTTATCTGGAGAAAAACATCACTGTACAAATGACAATAGCTGTTGGAGCTCGTATGCCGCCAAAGAACTTCAGCCGTGGCTCTGTAGTCTTCGTGTCAATATCCTTTTTTGTTTTGATGATTATTTCTTCCGCATGGCTTATATTCTACTTCATTCAGAAGATCAGGTACACAAATGCACGTGACAGGAATCAGGTGAGCTACCAATAATAATACTCTATAGTGATTAATTCTTAACCGTAATTCATCTACATCTGTTATAATCATAAATACAAGCAAACTTTTTTTATTCAAAAAAGTTATAACCAGTGTTCAGTCATTTTAATACATTGAAAACTTATGTACAAAAGTATTTTATAAGATTATTGTAAATGCCTAAAAGAGAAAGTTATCAAGTTTATAGTGATTACTTGGAATATTCCAGGTAAGTATATGTCTTAGTATCACAGTACAATCTAGTTAATTTTGCTAATTAGAAGGAATATCACAAAATTTCTTTTTTAACTGGAAAGGTTGTTTCTGGAGAGAGGGGTAGATGGCTGACTGAGATAGACATTTGTCTCATGTGAATTTTGAACTATAATCTATTCAGAAAAAAAGTTAATTAAAACAGAGTATCTCTCATATCTAACCTCAGACATGGGGTAAGGGTGAGGTAGAGGAAGACAGTTTGAAAAATAAATACCAATCAATTCAAGAGCACTATCAGTGGAGAGCCATCCAACACTTGCATTGCCCAGTACTCATGAGTAAGTGCCCATTAAATTGTGGTTGAATGAATAAACCACAGGGAAGGCTGTGTGCTGCCCTGTGTAATGCAGGGCTTGGAAATGATGATCTCTTAGTTTAGTACTCCATTTGCTTACACACATAATATCTGACTACCCAGGGAGCAGGATTCAAGGTATTAGGTCCCAGTCCTAGTCATTTTCTGTAGAAAGCTTAAGAAATTAATTGCTGTCAGAGTGGTTTGAATCTAATTTTTATAGACCACCACCTTCTCCTTACCCAAAGTACATCTGCATTTTTAAGGAGGAGTTGAAATTTTCGTTCATCCTCATACAGTGAAAAGATCACAGACTTCAGGACAGATTCAAGTTCAAATCCTGACCTTGGCACCATTTGTTACTGTTGTTGTTGTTGTTGATATTTATAATTTCACACTTTAAAAAAAGTGTTAAGAATAGTTCAAAGTATTTCCTTCACCCTGATTCTCCACTTGTTACATTTAACCACATTTCCATCCATCCATATCTCTCTTTCACTATCTATGCTTTTTAACTATTTCAGTGTGAATTTGAGAGATAATACCCTTTTACCCTTAAATACTGTTTTCTAAAGATAAGCATCTTCTCTTACATACCCAGTTTCACCACAAAATCAGAAAGTTAACATTGATACAATACCGTTATCAAATTTCATAGATTTTGTCTCAATGGTGTCCTTTATGGAAAAGAAAAGCTTGTCTCTCTCACTATTTCATGACATTGACATTTTTGAAGCGCACAGGCCAGTTCTTTTGTACTTAAGTTATTTTATGTACTATATTTACTAGATTTAGAATACATGTATCTTTATCCTTTACTTTTTTGTAACTTTTTATTTTGAGATGACTGTGGCTTCACGTGCATATGGAGAGCTCCCATAGATGCTTCACCTGCCTTCCTCCAATGGCGAAATCTTTCCTAATTGTGGTAGATATTACAACCAGAGAGTTGACTTTGAGTCAACTATTGATCCTATTGATCCTACTCAGAATTCCCCAGTTTTACGTGTACTCAACCCCAGTTTTCTGTGTGTGTGCATGATACACTGCCAGAGCTTTTCTCTGTGGCATATGCTCCTTGTTCATGATCCAGTGACTTTCTTCTAATAACTTTGTAGATACATCTGTAGTGTGATTTAAGTTTTCAAGCATCTTTCCCCCAAATCATCAATGTTCAGTCTGAAGAAAGCAGAGAAAGGCAAACTTATTTTTGTGGTGACCATGTTTTGTTTTCAGGTGACATGGACATGAAAATCTTTTGTAAATTAAAAAACACACATACTTTTTCCCTCTTGAAACTCAATAACTTTTCACTGTACCTTTTATCCTTGAATGACCTGTGACAGTTATCCAACAGAATAGTAGCTCCTCTGTTCAACTTTGTGTGCGAGTGTGTATACTGAGTGACTGGCAGTTTTTAGCGTGCTGTTTTTGTTTTATATACTGTTAGTGTTGTTAAGACCAACTGAAAAAGATAATTTTGCACTGGAAAGAGGAACTGCTCTGTAATGAACTGGATCAGTCTCATTACACATTATCTTTAGAAACCATCTATTTTTAGTTTAACATAGGACTATTCCACCTCCCTGAAAAACATACATATCTTTTTATAGATTGGAAAGTACTTCCTAAAGCTTCAAATTTAAAATAGTATCTGTAATATTGTTTAACAGTGATAGGATACAATATACTTGTGATTTTACAGTGAATGGTTTGTCCTTCAACAGGATCAGCATTAAGCAGATGTCTGGCATGTGGTTCAGTTTGGTGTTTTCCCTGTGGCAGGGTACTTGTTTTTACAATTTTACATGAGCAGCCAGGGTTCAACTTTACAACCAATTATATTAAAAACCAACTGTGCCATCTGAATTGATGTTCTCTATTTTACTTCTCTACTTGATCTCTCTGAGTGCTAATATTCATTGCAATAGCCACCCAGAACTCATAGATAAAATTCATGATTAAAGGGTTTATTAAGCAACTCAACAAGTTGTACTCTCAGTCAGAAAAGCTCAGGATAGAGTTTACCAGGACATGTTACAGTGTTTCAGGCCTGCTAATAAGTGCAGACCCAAAGTGATGCCAGCTGATAAGGTCCAGAATGCCTATCACTATTTTAGCCAAATACAGAGACCAAATTAATTGGTGATTTTTAAAGTTTATTTCTGCAAGTACTTGACAGAAGGAAGCACCAAGATTAAAACCTCATAAAGCTGCTTCAAAAATTCAGTGAAAGGGGAGCAAGTCATATAGCCTGAACTAGGTGACAAGTTGAAAGAATGTTTAACAAGTTTGTTAAAATGCACAGAGGGCTTAGAAATGGGAGGCATCACAGGCTGTCAGAAATAGGGAAGGATACAAATACAGAGGAGTCACAAATTGACAAGTGGGATATACTGAAGATGAATCACCTGTGTACATCGAAAGAATTCACCAAGAGAGTAATAAGCGAACCCACAGATTGGGAAAACATCTCTAGCAATGACACATCAGACAAAGGCCTTATTACTAAAATCTACAATACTTTGCAAGCTTATAGTAAGAAAAAAACTTAACTGCCTAGTGAGGAGGTGGGCAAAGTACCTGAACAGAAGTCTCACAGGGGCAGAAATCTGAATGACCAATAAACATATGAGAAAATGTTCCTGATCATTGCCCATAAGAAAAATGCAAATTGAAACCACCTAATACCCTCAAAGATAGCTCAATTCAAAAAGTCAGAAAGTAACAAGTGTTGGAGGGGCTGTGGGGAGATAGAAACTCTCGTCCACTGCTGGTGGTCCTGTAGGTATGTACAGCCACTGTGGAAATCGATTTGGCGATCTCTAAAACATGGAGGTTAAGCTACCATATGACCCAGCAACCCCCAAACTGGGCATATATCCAGAAGAGGCAGAAAACAAGCCACAGCCAGATGTCTGTGCTCCAATGTTCATCGCAGCCCAGTTCATAATTGCAAGGAGTTGGAAACAACCCAAATTTCCGTGAAAAAGCAAATGGATCAAAAAACTGTGGTACATACATACAATGGTACATACATACTATGCGTCCCTAAAATGCAGTGATAAACATATGAAGCACATTGCTGCATGGGAAGTACTGGAGGAAATCATGCTAAGTGAAGTAAGTCAAGCACAAAAGGACAAGTTCAACATGAATCCACTGAGCTAAGCTTAAAACAAAAAACAAAAACGGGGCATAGGGGAAAAGCTACTATATACATACATCCCTGGGGTGAGGTCCAGCAACTGTGGCAGGGGCCAAACCCAATCCAGGGATACATACGGCAGCCAACTAAATAAGATGGGGAAAGAAGGAGATAAAAAACAAAAACCACATGGGTAGTGGGGAGCAGGCCACTAATCCACCCAAGGGGAGGGTGTTGTTTATATCTCCACAGGGAGAGAGAGATTAGGCTTCAACCCAGTGCGCCAAGATGTGAATACAACATACTGGCATGTACCAGGGAACCATAGAATGGTCTTTGGGGATGGCCCCAATCCTGACTATGTGGACACACACACACACACACACACACCCTAAGAAGAATGCACTTTAGAGGACAGCACTGGGGCTACAGCTTGGGGAGGGGCGTGTCTGATTAGAGCACACAGGAGAAATGCAAAGGGATGGAGAGGGAGAAGAGGACATCCTGGTCCACCAAGCCCTAAGGACGATGTTCCTTCTCAGAGCAGACAACACAGAGGGAGAACCGTAGGGCTGGGCCCACCACAGGATACAGCGTCCTTCACTGAACCATGACGCTGTGGGGGACAGCACTGGAAACACAGTGTAGGAATAGTGCACGGTCTGGCCCCATCACGCTGGGGTGAGACACTGAGGGCATGTAGCAGGGGGAGCAGAGTGATGAAACCCCCAGGGAATACCAAAAATAGACTTGGGAGGCAGAGTGTGACATCCATCAGACTAGACTGGAAAACACTCGTAAAGGCCAACAAACAAACTTTGAACTATTAGCTTTTCCTTTTTTGTCAGTGGTTTTCTCTTATTTTGTTCTTGCTTTCTGCTGTTGTTGTTATTGGTTTGTTAGTTTTGACTTCCTTTGTTGTTTTATTTGGCTTTGCCTGAGTTTTGCACTTACTAATGTATCTGTATGTCTATCTAGATAAGATAGGCAGGATAAATAATTCAGAGATGAAAAGAACGGGACCAGTGGTTCTGGGGAGATACAGGAGAAGGGGAGGTGGGAGAAAGGAAGGCGAGGAGGACCAACCCAGGGACAAGGGAACAACAAGTGAACTAAAATCAATGGAAGGAAGGTCGTAGGATGCCTGGTGGGGCTCAGTCAAGGGCATTGTAGCAGTGAGGAATTACTAAACCCGAATGAAGGCAGAACACGATGGTGGGACAAGAGGAAATTAAAAGGAAATAGAGGAAAGAACCAGGAAGCAAAGGACATTTGTGGCGG